TATTAAAAAACCACCATTCTTCCATTTTCTAACTTGACTCGTTGGAGTTTTATTTTAGTGAATATCTCCACTTTGGTTAATTACACAGATTTGCAAGGTTTTCTGCATAAAATGATAGTCCGAGCTTCGAATTGGACCATCACTTCAGGATTTTGAGATATCTGAGGTTATGTACAAGAAATATGGTTTTTTTGGCTACTTTTGAAATTATGTACTTAAAAAATAAACGGATATTGTAATTTTAGTTTCTAATAACACCGAATAAACCTTCTTATTAATTTGTTTCTCAAAATAGATATTAACATTTTTTTATAAATTTACCTATATTCTTGCACTTTTCCACGATACCTAATCAAAAATAAATTTGTCACAAGTGCGCTTCTCATCAAAACTTTTCATCTTAAAATTTTTTCTAGTTAAACCTTTTAAAAGTTTTTAAGTTTATAGAACTTTCTATTAAATAATATATTAAAATAATGCTTTCTAAAACGCAATTGACGAACATATGCACATAACAGCGGCTGTTCTTGAAATTTGATTAAAATGGACAGAAACAATATTAGAACTTCAACATAATGAGACTTTCTCATCAAAACCATACTTACCTTCCAGTATTCAGTAAATTTAATTAAAATCTCTACACCTTAAGGATTATATTTGGAAATTCATAACGCGAAGTAAGCGACAACGAAAATTATCATCTTATAATGTATCTAATACTTAATACAAGGAACTGGTTATAAAGCGATGTTACGCTAGTGTTTCGTAATTTCACTTTATTACTATCAACTTATCAAATTGATTTTAATTTGTACGATGTTATGTTTGATTGAGTTTTAAACAAAATAATATACAAGTTTAAATTAATTTTAAAGTTGTGAAACAGTTTAAAATATATACGCTGTCTACACGTAGATGTTGAATATCGATAATGGCAGAAATATGTGATTAAAACTGGGAAAGTGTATACGATATTTTGACCAAATTAATGATGTTATTGACGAGCTTGAAGAAGACTTGAAAAACGATTCTGTATAAGTCATGCATTGACACCATATTCATATTTGTCATTACGAAATATGAATCGATTTAAATCTTCTACAGCAACTGAACAGGCGGATCTCCATTATTGTGGTATTTTCTAATCGATTCAGTGGCATTTTTTTTTATTGACAGTAGTAGGGTTTAGCGGCAAAAGACCACATCGTTTAAAGATATTTCTGATACGTTCTGACAAAGCGAAAAGACAAAAATTGGTAATTGTTAATGTTTTTTTTATTGTCTTCTATTCCTCCGTTGTATATTTGGCAATTATAGCAAATGATGTTATATTGTTACAGGTTGCTCAAATCTTTATACCAGACATTTCTGGTTTAGAAGGAATATACATCTTGAACGCACTTCTCGGTATCTATCATATTGATGCAGTATACCTTGCAACTGTATCTGAAAAATCTATAAAGAGTCGATGGAAATGGCAATATAGGAAGCTATAGAACAAAACTTCCAAGAACCTAACTCAAGGGCGATTATCATTGCAACTGATAGGTCTGATAGGTATATTTTTTGGGACAAGTGGCACAACGAATGTATCCGGATCAATATTTTGAATTGGTTTATTCGCTATGCCGAATACTTGGGTAACTGTAACTCCAAGGTCAATAAGTAATATGCGATGAAGAGGCATAAAGTGAAAAGATGGACATAAAAAGTTGACAGTATTGATCATATTCAGGTAATGATGGGGATCAGATTGAAAACGCTCAAGGAAAGAACTAAAAAGCTACCAAATGATATTGTAAGATGTGGGAGAAATGATTTGTTGCCGACTGCAACTAAGTAATAGGAAACCTACTATGGCCTGATAATCAGGAGAGATATAGAGTCTGTAGAAAAGCTAAGAACTGCCCTATATGCTTTATACTTTCAAATCAATCTTCACCGATTTATGTAAGGCAGAATTACTGGCATAAGATTTTTGTGAGGCGTTCTACTTTAAAGTTTGATGCCTATGAAGTTTGTGCTGAATTTATAATACTCTTTAATAGATTTAGTGCTAACATATATGTATAATATTTTTAAATAATGATAAACTCATATCATTATTTCATGCAATAGTATTGAGTTCACTAGTAACCCTAATAAAGTTACTTTGATATTGTATTTGCAATATTGGTGTAAACAATTCTCTTCGAACATTGTTCGAAGCGTCCTCCGATTTGTATGTGGTGTCTCAAAGTATAGTGTTTCTGGGAATCCCTAATCTTTCTACTTCTTGGTCTAATCGGAACTTTACCTAATTTATTGTAAATGTTGAGAACGCTGCAATCATACAATTCGCAACGGTTCGGCTAACTGGAAAAGGTGCAAAAAATATTTTTTAACAGCGATTGAAGAAGAAAGTGAAGTTGGTGATCATGAAGTTGCTGCGAGTTTAGATGTTCAGCGGTGAAGACGATTTCTGAAGGATACAACCTTGAAAATTCGTCTGAATCAGTATCTGAAAACACTGATACTATTCTTTTTTTCTATTACTTTTCTTTTTCTGACGTTATAAATACTTATATAGGAGGTATAAGGAGCTAAAATCACATAAAAAGGAGCGAAACGTGATAGATGGTGACGAGTTTCTACCACTTGTTACCTTTGCTAATATTGGCAGTTCACAATCCTCATATCGAAGGAATTACGAATTTATGGGACGTAAAAGATGGACGCTTTGTCTTCAATAAGACCATGGCTCGAAACAGATTCAGTACAATTCACCAATCTGAGATTGCAAAATCATCCAGAAAAAGTTGAGATTGGATAAATTATCACCGATTAGAGCTTTCTTTGAGTCATGGCTATCCACACTATATGATGCATATGTACCCCATGATAATGTAACTGTCAATGAACATTTATTCACATTGCGTGGAAGGTCCCTTCAAGCAATATATTCCTTCTAAATCTGGAATGTTGATTTTCAGGATAAGTTGATAATCAGGGTGTTTACTTCATATAATTATAATCACCAAATATAAATAAGGAAAACAGGAGACCAGTTTGAACGCAACCAGGAGCAGCGTGTCTTAGTTATAATAAACGGGTTGGAAGGATCGGGGAAAAATGTGATAACTGACACTATTTTTACAAGCCTTAATCTAGCTAGAGAATTAAAGTAAAGAAATCTTACACTGCTGTAGTCATTTGGGAATAAACAACACTTCTTTAAAACCACGTAAAAACTACCTTACGTAGCCCAGAATCAATCAAATAATTCGGAAGAATAAATAACATAAGAGAATTACCAAAACGAGCTTGGCAAAACATTGCAGGTCATGTTTGTTCAGTTAAAAATAGAAACTAGTAATTTGTTTTACTAATGTAATGGATAATTATGTAATGGAAAAGTTAAAAAACGTAATAGCAAAATGTGGAATTCTTGAAAAACTGTATCCAGGCAAAGGTCCACAGTGTTTGTAAACAACAGTAATTTTCAATTTAAACAAAATACCAGTTAGCAGTAAATTATTAGAAACTCATCAGGACTACGCAAACGTAGTTAGACAAAACACAAAGTTATAAGAACTTAAAAGAACTAAAACATAGAGAATAAGAAATGATGAAGACTGGGGTAAACTGGAAACCAGCAACAGTCGTAAATACTATTTATTAATAAACAAAATACATAATGAAATTATAAGAAGCCAATAATTTTTGAATTCAATTGAAGAAAAAATAAAGAAGGAAATAATCGAAAATTAGTATTTATATTATGTCTTTCCATCTTTAGGAATTCGAATCAAATAAAACAGAAGTTATCTCCTGAAGATGACTATTTTTAATAGTTGAAACCGGTAGAGAATACAAATAAAAGGATCCATCTCAAATACACATGATCGTTTTATTTGATTCGAAATAATCGAAGAGACTTTGATGACTTTGAAACACACGACAATGAAAAAACCTCAACAAATTGGATCAGTAGAGTCGAGAACATTTTGATTCAGCAAATATGAACATAATTCCTCCTGGGGAAGATTCTGATGGAGACTGAGTAATCTGATAACGAGCAAATTACAGAAGATGCTGAAGGTGTGGTTTTGGAGAGCGATGAAGATGAGCCTCTACTCAAGTACGTACCAAACTATAAAAGATAGAAGTTATCAAAAGACTATAATTTGTTGTAACGAGCTTTGCTGAAAGATTGAAATATAGTTGTCCAAATCAATTAGCGTTTTCTAGACGTTGCTAAATCGTTGTAAAATCGATTTTTCATACACTCGACTCGTATTCTATAATAAATTACAGCGACGTCCATTCGTACTGAATGTTTAAGACAAAAATTCTATATAATCACAGTTAATCGCATTTCCAGTAACACTTATGTAACACATTTTTTAATACCTTTTTTTCTGAAAAAATGATTAGTTCTTTATACGATTGAATTTAATTTGACACGAGAAGATATTTTTTACGAATTTTTACGCCACGATTATGAATGTGTAGCCCATTATTTAATGTCAGTTCAGGTTATAGAGATAAATGTGTCAATTGTTTTCGCAACTTTTAACTAAAATGAACATTTATTGACTTTACAATCGAGACATCATTATTTTTGCAATCTCTCTAAAGCTTAAACGATTTGAAACAGTTAATTTATTTGAGTAATATAAAACGAAAAATCGGAAAATAAAATTGTTTAATCCACATCAACGGTTTTTCATGAAATCTAAAATGTAACGTTGAAAAAGAGCGTGTTGTGTTACTGGAATGATAAATGTTATACGGATTATTTGTCATGAGAAAGTGTCACTTTATTGTGCTTTCAAAAGATTACAATGAAATTGAAATTGTTAATCTGTTTCTATTTTACACTCTGTGTGCGAAATTCCAAAAAAGTGTTGATACTTACCTGATTCATTTAATAATATCAATGTAATAAAATAATTTTATAAAAAGTTTTTATTTATTCTTTTTACAATTAAATGCAAGGAAGAGATAAAAGACTTCACTAAATTCCACATACTCTTTATTTCTGAATCTATGACAATCTATTTCTAAATTGAACCTTACTAACTTTTTCTAACAATAATACTATTTTTTTATTCTTAATAATTAACTTATTACATAAATACTTACAAATTTTCAGTCGACATTTGTTTTTTTAACTCACTTTGCTTACAATCTCCATAATGATTGTTCATCGTACACATTGGATATTCTGGAACGGTATCCAAAGACTCATGTTTGGATCTAATATTGGAATTATTTCTGGTCATGGGCATTTCAACCGAAACCACAGTTGTTAACGGCGAAGACCGACAATTAACTTTCATCGTATCACCACTCGTCCTCTTGTATTGCGGCACAGAACCGTACGGAAGTGGTTTGCCACCGATTGCACCTTTATGTCTTTCCGCGCGATCTTTACACAAACCGTATCGTCCCATTAAAATAAAAAAGTCTCTTCTATACTGTTGAGTTAATAATGCGTATAAACACGGATTGGCGCAAGAATTTAACGGATAAAAAAATACTAATAAAATTTTTGTTTGCGTCACTGTTATCAATGGGTATCCCATTAATGCGGTCATACCAAAAAATGCGATCGGTGCCCAACATGCGAAATCTGTGAATACTAAAAGAGCCATCTTTTTGGCTACGGTTAAGTCACATCTAACGTAAGTTAATGAACAATGACTTCCTCCTTCCTTAATCGAACGATACATACTACCGTAACATACACATACTAACACGAATGTGATAGCGTTGAAAGCTAATAATGTTGAGAGGTATATCGCGTCTGTTTTGCCTTTGTTTTCAAGGGGAAGACAAATACTGGTTTTGGCGTAACTGCTGATTCCAATTAAGGGAAAAGTTGCCATAGTTAGGGCACATATCCAACCTGCTATCATTACGCGAACTGCTGTGCGAAGCTTTAATCTTCTGTTTAATTGAATTGCCCAAGTTATTGTGTACCATCTTTCTATTGTTATTATTGCTAATGTATAGACGGAGAGGATGTTTCCGAAAATTGTTAAAAAACCTGCTACGTTACAACCATTTCCTATAACACAAAATATAAAATAACATTGATAATTGATAACATTTTTAAGGAAAGTTTTTCGAGTAGTTTTATGTGATTTTATGGAAAAGTTAACGGCCGATAAAAGTTACCAAGTTCTATTTCAACCATTCATTCTAATTGTATGTAGTAATCGATTTATTGAACCGTATATTCATAAAAACTATTCGAAGTTAGAACTTTACAGTAAAACTAGAAAGATTTTCTAGTACAATTCATTCGACAATTTAATTTAACTTTTGGCAATAAAAATAAAAAAAGTTAAATTTGCAAAATATAGATATAAAATTTATAAGTATAATTTACAGAATACATTTGACAAGGTACTTGTGTTCCTAATAAATTAGCTTTCTTTATAAATATGCAAAACTCAGATGATTTCACTTTAATAGCAACTAACCAAAAAATACTTTAAGGTTACAATCAATGTGTCCTTGATCTAGTAAAATCTTCTTGCATTACTTCTTAATAGCTATTAATAAAAAAATACCCTTTATGGTATGGCGTTGTTAGATTTTGTTGCATTCACTTCGCTCCCTGTGAATAATAAAATACCAGTATGGTATTTTACAAAATAAAAAAATTAAAATTTTTATTATAATGAGATTTTATGAGTCATTAGCAGCACATCAAACATAAAATTTACAGTAGCTTATCTAGAAGCTTTTATATCTTCAGCAGAACGAAGTAGTTTATAGTTTTGGCGTTTCAGCGGAATTCGATAAGATATTTCGAATTATTTCCACTACTTAGTGCATGTACTGGCCAAGTTTTGAATGAGATATTCTTCATCGAAATCGGTTATGATTAAAATATTATACACGTAAAATCCTATCAAATTGAGGGCTGAAAATATTCGTGGTAAAAAATGTTACGCTGGCGACTCAAATGTATGAACACTCGAGATTATACTGGAATGCCAAAATTGTATACGAAAATTTCCTAATGTTAAATATTACTACATGTCACTATCTCATTTTTAGTTTTATCAAATTATAATTACTAATCCTTGGTAGATCTGTTGTTCCTGATTAAGTCTATCTCTGAAATATCTTCAGAAATATTGACTTTCAACTGTCTCTCCATTTACGGTTATTTGTACTCTCCATTTTCGGCAAACTGTTAATCGCTTACGTTGTCTTCTTCATCTTGCAATGATCTGAACATCTATGATGTCGAAGTCCTCAATTCTGTCCCATCTGGTGTTTCCTGAGATTGTCCTCACTGTCTTCATTTATGCTATTCTTAATATGCTGTTGTTTTGTTTATGCCTATCCATACTGATTAATTTGTTCGACTAAACAGTATCTCGTAGGCGGTCTGAAATTGCGAACGGTTTGTTGATTCTGAACTTGGTTTGCGGGATGGTAAGTGCTTGAGACATCTCAAGCTTGTGCACACTCAAGTGGAAAAATTTCATGACTTGTTGGATGGGGGTAGGTATTATTAACTACCACAAGCATCTTGTTGGCTTACTTGCTACCGCCATACAGTTTGTTTTTGAAGCAGAGACAGCTATCAGGTAGTATCAAATAGTTGTCTTTGCAGCCCATCCTCTGAGTTAGCGGTTATCGGAGCGTGTCGGCGTACTATATTACGCAGATTTTCGTTTGGCAAATTTTATATTTTAGGTTTAAACTGATCATTATCTTCTTTGATTGTTTTGTCAGATGTCACCCGGTGTGAGATGTCAGTTAGTTTTTTTCCGGCCCTTACTATAGCAGTGTTGTTTGTATTTAATTTGTGTTATATTTATGATGTCAGCTAATGAACTTCTTTGTATCAACAGGTTCAATACGTCTTGCAAAACGTAGGCTATCAAATGCAAACCTGCAACATATGCAGGTGCGTTAAACTCAATGGACTTTTTTTTAGTTGTTTTTTAGTTGTTTATCTCATACCGTGTGCAGCGTCCGTTATTGAGTGACCTTTTCTAAAGCTTTGTTGTTCTTCGGCATTTGTAATAAGATTTTTCAGCTTGGTTTTTATTAAACTTATAAACAACTTCATTGATATGTTTAGAGAAGTTATTCTGTAATTTTTTAAGGAAGTTTTTTCGCTTATTTTGAATATGGGGATTAAAATAATAATATAGTCCTTATTAATACAGATACAGTACTGTGTTAAATAGCTGGGTGAGCTTTTCTGTTAGTTTTGTTCCTGTATATTTGAACAATTCATTATATGTATGTTGTCCGTTTCGGGAGATTTCAGTTTTCAACACTTTTCTTTGATTCTTTAAATTTCTTCAATTTGAATAATAATTTTTGTGGTTGTATTCACTAACGTGTGTTGGCCCTTCGGTAAAACATAGTTGTTTAAACTAATTTTCCCAATCTTCCCTTAACACCACATTAGTCTATACATATCTACTGGTTGAGTGGCTTCTTTCGATTACGGAGCATTTTCCAAACCTTTCTTTGAGCTCCATATAGGTCATAGTCCATATCGCTAGTAAATTTACTCCAACATTCTCTCATTATAGCTTTTATTCAGAGGTTTATTTCGTTTCTTACACCAGTATATTCAGCTAAGGTTTCAGGTATGGGTGTACTTTTGTAGTATAAGTAGCTTTGGTTTTTTAAGAATTGAAAGAGCATGGTGGCAACCTGGCAGAGCTTCAAAAATGTATCCACAAGGTAGCAGATGAAGCCATCGGTAAGAAGGTCAACGTAATCAAAAACACTAAAACCGGATTTTGCGAAGAGCGGCGTCTGTTCAAGTGACAAGGTTAAGAAACGCCGAAATAAGATACTTGATACATTCACCTTCCATTGGCCAAACTTTAATGAATTGCTCCATGAGACTTAATGCTTTCCATGAACTCTGCTGTACCACATACACGAAAAGCAGGATACTGGGTATTGGTATTTCTTGGTGTTGCTGGCGACGAAGGAAGCAAACTATTTTAAGGTGAAGAGGTGCATGTGGTATTGCAACAAATCAATGATTCTCTTTATGTCTTCATATTCTTCACTAAAATTATCTGAATAGCATCTGGCCTTTACTGTTGTTGAAGATATATTTGTGTTGGTTTTTATGTGAGAAGTATGTTTTCAATTTTAAGGTCATTTTAGGGAAGGAAGTTTATTAGTAGCTCTCCATTTTCATTGAATATTGTTTAGTTGTGTTTATGTTTTATTCCTAGCATAGTATCATTGCCACCGAGTTGGCATTAAGATCTTTAGAGAGTTTTATTACCTTATTGCTAGTGTGAAGCCTGTCTATTTCAATCCACCCATTATATCTCCCAACATATCTCTTTATAACTAAACGAGTTTGTTTTGACCATAACCTTTCACCACGAATAGAATTGCACTTTTTTTCACTTCTCTTTCAATTCTCTTTCATTAGCCTTTTTTTTTGTCCATGATGTTGTATCGGGCGTGATTTCGCGTATACGATTAGCTAATGATGTCGGAATAATCTTATAAGTTTATCTATAAATTTTTTTATCTGGTACTCAACAAACTCATAAATTATAACTTTAATTCGCTGAACAAACATTTTGTTTATTCGTTCCCTACATTTCTTTAGTTCGGTGTATCGTAGAATTTATTATTTCTAGTCGAATTTATGTCTTGAGTCTTATAAAACTATCTATATTCATTACAAACATAATCACCATGTCTAAACATTGATTTCGTCATACATAAATTTATTTAAAAATTTTTGTAATACATCCCTACAATTTTTCAGAATATAAACGATCGTAAAGTAAGAATAGTAGTCAATAAAAGTCACAAAATATTTATGGCCCCCACTAGATTCAGGTGTTACAGAGGTCCACAAACAACCATATGAATAATTCCTAACATTCGTTTGCTTGTAGTGCTGTGCATGTTTCGCGAAATTTTGTTCGATCCTTTTGTGTACTTTTATCTATTTCATTTATACCCTTTACTAATTTCATTAAACTTAAATCATTTAAAAGTTCAAATTTACGATATCAAGCACGAACATTATCATTTATATTACCTTCTATAATTAAATTTACCTCATTAATAAAGCACAATATTATCTCGAGGTGTATTTAAGTGCAACATATATGTAATAATGGATAGTAGCGACACAACAACAGCGTTCACGTCATTAAACCACAAGCATTGAGACTGAAGCAATGTCAGAAATAATCGCATATGAGAAAGGAGAAATGTAATAATAAGTATTTAGTAAATATGTGGATGTAAACAGCTTTTAATTAAACACACGATATATTTTTCAAAATAAAATTCAATAAGGTTATCAGAAGAGGAAAATTGCATTATCTAAATATCTTTGAGATACATGTTCTCTTAGGTTGATTAACATTAGCTATTGTCTTTCTACGTCATTGTTCTGTACCTACGTTCTTCTGTTAACTTCGGAAAAAAAAGAATTTGAAAAAATACTAAACGCGTCACGCATAACGGTAAGATTAATATTGTAATAGATAACTTCGTTCCAAAAGTTCCGCATTTTTAGCTATTTCTTTTAGTTGTTACCATACAATGCCCAAATCTCTGTATTGAAATTTTATAATAATTTTTAATCCAACCCGAAATCTATGAATGAATAAGCTTGGAAAAAAGGCTGTTATTATAAACTATCAAAACTTAATTCGTACTCCATTACGGCACTCCATATTAATAAGGATTGTACATAAAATATCACAAAAGCATAATCCATTGATGGTTTCTTTCTAATTAATTCGTATTTTCAGTTATAAATCCGAGAAAAAATATGTTATTATTGAGAGTTGTTTGCAGCGTAATCCGCAATGCTAATAGAACAACTGATACTAATAAATTTAAATAGGTATTATCTTGACATTTGAGTTGTATGACGAAAAGTGGCTTAAACAGGCAGCGTCTGAGTTGGTGAGAGATTATGTGCAAAGTTTATGCAGGTGAAAAGGGGTTTTGGATCAAATTTTCGATAGTTTTTACTTTCTAATAAGCGTACAATTTCAAGTTTGGAAAATTCTATAGTTGTTCAGCGAGACACTAACAACACACTTGCCGTTATCTAAGGAAATTTGTGAGGAAGATAATGGAGGTAGGCTATCAACAGCTTTTCATAATTTAAAGCTTCTGGGTCCTATGTGATTATATCTGCCTCTCTACAGTGGAACTTGGAATTACTAATGGCACAATAAGACGGAACTAGATACCTAATTCTTGTAATCAAATTTACATCCATCTGAAGTTCTTCAGATCAATCAGTTCATACAATTCACGGATTAGTCTGCTTAACACCTCAATGAGGCCAACTTCTTCATTTTTCCACTGTCGTTACTGTTGACGATTTTACTATTCTTTTTAGAGGTAAACATGTGTGCATATTATATGATAGAATGCAGGTAACACTTAGCATAATGGATAAAGTTGATGTCACACAAAGTTTGTTGGTAAACACCAAAAAGGCGGACATATTTTTTGGATACTAAAAATCGGCTCTCATAGAGTGCCGTTTCTCGCTGGAGGTTTAATGAGTTTGCAAAAAAATAGTTAAATATCTGGGTGTTATTCTAGATAGCAAATTATCATTGAAAATACACCTACATGATATAGACAAGAAAGGCAGTATCGTCTTCGGTATAATCTAGAAAGCAATTAAGAAGAGATGCAGAAATTCGACCTATGTTTATCGTCCCTGCCGCATTAAATAACATACATACACTTACGTGTACACAGGTGATACTGCCACCATATGGAATATGCAAAATATATTAAATCTACTATCTCTAAAACCACACATTCAAGAGGTGGCGTTAAGTTACCATGTTGGGATTTCGTGAAGTAGGATTCTTCAATGGAGAGGTTGTTAGGAAATCTGAAATACTCTGGAAGGAAGCAGTAGTGAACAGTCTTCTATGTAACAGACTATATTCACTAAAAATCATTATTTCCAAAAAACAACTGTCCCACTTTGGTCCCACAGTAGTAGATGATTATAATACCATTAAATTTCGACTAATGATTCAAATAGATGGACTAACATACTGACTTCGTTATCTCCCATTTCAGATATAAGTTTTACGATAATTACGGATAGCAGACAATCTGCTTAAGCTTTAATTAGGGAAAAGAGCAATTTTGGAGTAATCATGGACTACTAATTAACACTTCAGAAGGCGGCGACAAACAACAATGTTGAGATAGGAAGCGTTGCAACGGAACCATCATAGTCATGTAGAATCTCACTCCAGTAAGTGATCTCTTTTAAATTAACTATTACAGTAGGGAACAATTTGTATCACAATTTCTATTGAGTTTGTTATTTGAGCTGTTTTATAATTAATTAGGATACTGGTTTCAAAACTGTACTTGGTTTTCTTCTACCACATCAAGTTGTTTCTCTACATCTTACGAGAATGTGATCATTCTCCGAGAAATCGAGGATGGGGCACAGGAAGCGCTATTGTTTTCTTATTGACTGACAGACATCTTCTCCGTGTGGGGTCAGGTGAATGACGCATGGAAGAACAGCAACAAGTTTGTGCTTGTCTGAGTCTGAGTTCTTTTTTATATACACTGTTAACTGTTAATTAGTTTTTATTTATATGTACTTTAACTGAAAGTTTGCCTCAGTCTACCTTTGTTAATTTATATTATAAGTGATTAAAGTTCGTTTTATTATGTGACAGTTTTGCTGTTTCAAGTCACAGGACAAATATCAGTACAATTGTCAGGCGAGCCTATTTTAAAGTAAAAATTTGTAATCAAGGTAAATCATGGGTCCCTCACAAAGTATGTAAACATTGTGTTGAGAGTTTGGGGATGTAGACAAAGGCAAAACTATGATTTAACGAGAGTGCAGATATCATTTAAGTGATTTTAGTTTTGCATAGTGTGATCGTCAGGACATAACAAGAAAAATGTATACAAAATAAAGTTTCCCACTTTACCATCAGCTGTAATCTGTTTTGCTGAATTTCCAATGATTGTTTTCAATTAATTATCCTCGTACTGGTTTAAGCAGTATGAGTTACATGATTTGGGATTTGGTACTATCCAAAAAAGCTTCAGAGCTTTTAGTATCAAAACGGCACGAGAAGAACTTGCTTGAAAAGGGAGTATTTTCGATCAAGAGTAAGTGTGTTTCTGTAATCCGTTCGAAGTGATGATGGATTGTATTGCCATAATATACATGGTTTAATGTAAGAGTTGGTAATTTTAGCCCATAATATAAAGAAGAAGATGTAAAGAAAATTGATGTGGTTCACTCCCAATAGGCTATTCAGATCGTTTGAATGAAGAATATGAAGGCATAAAGAAAATCATTGATTTATTGCATTAACACATGCACCAATCGCTTCTATTAACCTTAAAATGGTTTGCTTCTTTCTTTGCCAGCAACGCCAAGAAATACAAATGCCAAGTATCCCTGCTTTTTGTGCATGTGGTACAGCAGAATTCGTAGAAGGCATTTCCTAACTTTGTCACTTGAAAAGACAAAGGTCACAATTTTTGATGGTCCACAGATTCGGCATCTTGTTAAAGACATCATAGCAATGTCAGAAAACCAAAAGAATTAAAGACTTTATTAGAAATACACGAGCACAGAATTACAAAGAAATTATCCAGCAATTCTTTGGAATTCTTAAGTGGTTTTTATTTGTAAAATGAGTTATAGATCATCATAATGTCAATATTTTATTCATTAAGACATATTTTGAGTTTTCTAGAGCGTTGCTGAAAGGCATTAGCGTTCCAGATAGCTATCTTATATTTGAGTTGTATTGCCATTAAGATAGTTTACTGATGATGTGTCCCTATTTGTTCCATAAGTTTGGTAAGGATTTCTTCAAGCTTAGGTGATGATTCGCATTTGATGTTGTTATTTCCAAGTTCTTCGATGTTATATAGTTGTTTGCTATAGATTTTAGATCAGCGTAAAATATAGGTAAAGGCACCTTCGTGATTCTATGCTATACCTATATTAAGTTTGTTTACTGTTTCATGTCAAAAGTCTGAGAGAGCTGATATTATGTCATTAGTTGTAGTCCTGTGACTACAAATCTAAATGTCGTCTCGTTTTGCTAAGGAATCTGCAGATCTTAGAAAGGACGTTCCAGATGGATTTCACATATGATGAACACAGAATATTTCGCAAGCTTCTAGTGATGTACTTAAACGATAAAGTACAATCCTAGTAAAACCTCAAACGCGATGAAGGTAAACAAAACAAAAATGATATCTTTAGTTTACGATATGCGGTATAAAGACCAAATATGCTTCTGGTCTCTCAACCGGATGTCGGAAACAAGCCTTTGAGAATCAACATGAGGTACTCTTTTCCAAACTTGAAAACATTATCCTGGCATTCTTCTGCTGTCGTAGCATAACACCAGGCATCTTATGTTTCGGCTAGATATGAAACTCTAAAAGTTAATAAGTGTGTAACCTTAGCCACCTCGTAACTACACTAAGGCACTCCTTAGGTTAGTCACTTTGGTTCGCTCCTGTTCATGTTCAGCCATGGATGGCATAAATGAAGCATTAATTTTATGAAAATTTTGTGCAGGTTCTCAGATCGATTGGACTCAACTCTGTATTAACTTTATTTATTTTAAGCCTGACAGTGGGTGTTTACCAACGGATTATAGGATGGAGCATATACAAATTTCACAATAAAATTTAATCCAAAAGCTCAAATCCACCATTTACTACAATCTATTTTAATAAAATACTAATCGTTAATCTATTTTGACAGTGTACAAAAATACACCAAGTTATTTTTACTGTTAATCGTTGTCGTAACTTGACATAATTAAATTATTTCACTTTTATGGGCCACTAATTCACTGTCTAAGAGTTCTTTCTAAAACTATTTTATTATTACAATAAATTTTAAAATTAACTCACCTTCTTGCCAATTAATAGCGTAATTGAAATAAACTTTAATTGAGCAAGCATCTTCAATCGCAATCAAGAATAGATGGATTCCGATGCAAAGATCGGCAATTGCCAAATTACACATAAGGAATTTAGAAACGGTCAGACGAAAATGCGATGTAGCAATTACGACGACCACGAAGAGATTTCCGATAACTGCCGAAAGTGATATAAACCAAACTGAAATGCGGAGAACCCAATTCCCCATTAAGTCTTCGCAAGGACTAAAAGCGTCTGGAACCGGATCACATTTCACCTGCAATAAAATTGTTACAAGAATAAATCAAAGAAATCAAGATTAAATAAAAAAATAATTAAATATATATTTATCAAAGAGGAAAACGAATGAACTTTAATTCGGATATATTTTAATTTGAATTTAAAAGTAATAATATTGTTGATGTTGCTGATTTGAAACAATTTACATAATATGGGTGGGTATATATCCATCAAAAAAAAATATTTATATTGTGATCAGAAACTCGTTTCCTCGAAATATATATTAAAACCAAAATATGTATTCACAGTATTACTTTCAAACTGCTTTTTGAAAGCTTCCGCTATTCAAAAACGTTTTCTTTTTCATTCACTTACTTATAGTTCATGTCTTTTACATACCTCATGATAACTTTTGTGTAAATTTCCACAATCGGCAAATGTTACGGTAGAATTTCCATTGGTGGTCAAAATCGGATTGTGAAAGTATTCATCATTATCACCTCTATCATATCTAGAACTGGAGTCGTAAATGTTGCTGGTAATGTTGCTGGTGGCCAAAAATTCTCCCGATTTGAATGCAGCAAATTCTGCGTCTAGAAATTCGGAGTAAACCATCGTCGTAGAGTTTTTTCCTTCGCACATCTCCTGGAAACGTTGGTGGATCTCGAACTCCGATGGGTTGTGGGTGTCTGGGTGCTTGAATGCGCAACAGTGATAAGGGTACGTGAGGGATGCTTTCATGATGGACTGAAACCGACCGAACGACGAAGCTCGGGGTTAGATTATTCACTTGCTTTTATCAAAAGTAACGTTGGAGATGATTGATGATGAAGGTTGAGACGATGTACTGGCTGCTTTTAACACGGAGGAGATAATAAAATAACAGGTTTGTAAAGGAAAAGAAGCTTCGTTATTAAGAACACTACTTTACAAAATTAACAAGATAATTTCGTTGTCTTTAATATTTCTGGTTTAAAAATAAAAATGTTTAGAGGTACACGTAACTTTACTTTTGGTATCATAAAAAAGAGATTTTAACGATCGTTTTATAGCTGCGTAAAGTAGATTTAGTACAATATGGATTTTGGTATTCTATATAGAATTGTTTTCTTATCAATGAAGAAAATTATAAAAACAAAAAAAATAATGTAATATATTGACTTACTGGAAAATTATATATTGATGGGAAAACCGTAAGAGATTTCGTGTCCTGCATTTTTAAAACTTCAATGTCTCGTAGTCCTTCTACAGGAAGGAATGTAATAGCTGTGCTTGATAAATCTCTGAAATAAACAAACCAATAAAGTTTTGTTTTGTATAATAAATTTTACTAAATTGCAAAACTTAAAAACGTCGGGATTTGGGCAAAAACGTATATCTCTCTAAGCCGCTTTATTTTTTTGGATCACTACAAAAATTTAAAACTAAGTACAGCGTTGACAACATTAGAAGTTTAAAAGAATTTTTTTAAAAGTCATTAATTTTGAATGTCTAATCTCGATTTATCAGCATATTAAAGACTCTTGAGACTCTCTCTCTCTCTTTAATCACGATATCGCCGAGTTAAATTGTGCAGACGTTGAAATTATTCGTAGTATCGAATAAAATACTTAGCATACATCGTACGTAATAAACGTTCTCGAATGAATGATTAGAAGTATTCCTATTCTTCCGTATTAAATATTTTCCTACACTTTAACGTTTTTTAGCTATTAGTATGGAAAAAGTCTAGAAATTGAGTGGTGTAGGGTGATGATCTTAGGACCGATTTTGTCAAGGTTATACAAAATGTTGAGATCGAATTGTTGCACGATTCCTCTTTATATACTATTCATATACATATAAGTAATAGTAAAGAAGCGAACTTATCGATCGCAACCACCTGAAGAAATATCGGGGCAGAACAGGGTACCAAACTAAAAATATGTTTTACAACAACAACAGGATTAATTAAGACAGATGTAATATTTTTTATGAGCACATTATAATGTATTCATTTCAAATACAGCTACAGTCGATATTATCTTTATTATAAGACAACTGATAGAAAAGTCAATTGAGTACAACAAACCTGTGTTCATGTTTTGTAGACTTCAAGCAAGCTTTCGGTGCAGTAAGGGTAAGAGACATAACCAATAATAATAACAATAATAATAAGTTTATTGATTATGCATCAAAATGTACAATATTCTCGTCAAAAGTCGTAATAATAATGACAATAAAGAAAACAGGTATTCATTAGTTTATTTTCATTGCTGCAAAGTATTCGTCTATGGAGTAGAATTCCTTTTCTAAGAGCATATTCTCTTCATATTCAATGTTTTGAAATGGGGTGATAATTCATTGTATAACTTTATAGATATATAGTTGAATTTTTTTTGTGATATTGTTGTTCTGTGACATGGATATCATCTCCTTGTCTGGCGCAATAGGGGTGATACTCTGTAATTGTGGTTAGTGAATCCTTGTTTTTGTGTATACATATAGTCTAGGCACGTAAGTATATATGAGGATGGTAATGTCGGTATTTTTAGAGTTTTGAAATGACCTCTACAACTCTGATTTTGAAATACACATTTCGTGATTCAGCCGATGGTAAGTTTTTTACCATTACTTTCAAACAATGTATTGAAGTTGCTAGTTTCTTTTTAAGCTGAGATATGTGCTCTGACCAACTCAAGGTTTCCGTAAACACCACGCCAAGGAGTTTGGTCTTTTGATTTGTAACGTGATCATTGGTTTTCGAATAAAACGTGAGTAACTTGGTGAATGTTATTTAATTGTAATTTGTTCGAATTGAACTACTTTTCTGCCTCAACCATTGTTGTATTAGTTTTTTTCTGAAATTTTTCAATATCCTTTTCCACGTTTATTAAGGAAGTATCGTCCGCATAAAGACAGAGTGAATCCGATGCTACAAAATCCCGCAGATCATTTATGTAGACCAAAAAAGAATCGGTCCAAGAACCGAACCTTACGGACTCCTGTTTCGACTCTCTTCCACTCCGATATTTCACCTTTCTAGTGAGTTTGTTGTTGTCGCTGCTCCAGATATGAAACTAGCAGGTTAAGAGCCTTATCTCTTATGCCGTATTTATTCAATTTCTTGGCAAGAATGTCATGATTTACAAGATCAAAAGCCTTGCTAAGGTCACAAAAGGCGATTTGAGTATAGTTTTGTTCATCAAAACCTCTAGATAGTATACAGGGTGTATCTGAATGACTGCAACAAACTTCAAGGGTGATTCGGCTCGCCTAAGGAGCTACACCCCTCCAAAAATGTCGGAAAATTTTGGTTTAACTCATAATAGGACACGTTTTGACCCTATTTGTACTTTCAACCTACTCTTCTAAGTTACTAAACATAACTACCCCTGTTCAATTTTTGTCTAGATTTTTCTTATGACGGTGATAAATACATTGGAAATATTTTATTTAGATAGATGAAAATATTCTAAAACTTTTTTGCCTCTCTAATGTTCTTCGAAAAGTTAATAGTTTCTGAGAAAAAAATTAATTAAGCAAACACTAACTGTTAAGCTGTGGGGTTGTTAATCGAAAGTTGGAATGAATTTTTAATGAAAAAATCTTAGTAGGCTTTGCAATCTTTGTCAGAAATATTTTTGACGTTTAAATATCAGTGGTTTTCTTACTATTATTATTGTTTTATTTAAAATTGTGAAACGTCGAGTGAACGAGCGTAAATGCGATAGAACTTTATTTGAAAAATTTTTCCAATGTATTTATCATCTTCATAAAAAAAATCTAGGCATAAATTGAACGGGGGTGGTTACGTTTAGTAGTTTAGAAGGGTAGGTTGAAAGTACAAATAGGGTCAAAACATGCCCTATGATGAGTTAAACATATTCCCCAAATTTCATTTTCCTAGTGTTTATGGTTTTTGAGAAAAAGAAATTAAACCAAAATTTTTCGCCATTTTTGGAGGGGTGTAGCTCCTTAGGGGAGCCGAAGTCGCCAATAGTTCATATATCAAACTACCCTTAAAATTCACTAAAGAATCACCCCTTGAAGTTTGTTGCAGTCATTCAGATACACCCTGTATATGGGTCAAACCTTCCAATATTAACAAACGCTTTTGAAACATAATCTGTTGAGAGAAGAAAATATGAATATTTTTAAGCATAAGGCGATCTTAATTCTTGAGCTTTTTTGTGTTTACTGGTCTTGTATATAATATATACATAATACAATATACAGCGTGTCCCCGGATTGTGTCCCCGTAAGGTATAATTGACGATAAATTTTTGAATTCAAATTCCATCTTTTGCAATTAAAGTCTGGATGTCATAAAACGAAATATAACCAAGTTTTACGTCAAATATCCTCAAAGTACCAAAGTTAACGCAAGAAGTTTGTTAACCGTTGCAGGTAAAGNATCATCTCCTTGTCTGGCGCAATAGGGGTGAGACTCTGTAATTGTGGTTAGTGAATCCTTGTTTTTGTGTATATAGTCTAGGCACGTAAGTATATATGAGGATGGTAATGTCGGTATTTTTAGAGTTTTGAAATGACCTCTACAACTCTGATTTTGAAATACACATTTCGTGATTCAGCCGATGGTAAGTTTTTTACCATTACTTTCAAACAATGTATTGAAGTTGCTAGTTTCTTTTTAAGCTGAGATATGTGCTCTGACCAACTCAAGGTTTCCGTAAACACCACGCCAAGGAGTTTGGTCTTTTGATTTGTAACGTGATCATTGGTTTTCGAATAAAATGTGAGTAACTTGGTGAATTTTATTTAATTGTAATTTGTTCGAATTGAACTACTTTTCTGCCTCAACCATTGTTGTATTAGTTTTTGAGACAGAGTGAATCCGATGCTACAAAATCCCGCAGATCATTTATGTAGACCAAAAAAAGAATCGGTCCAAGAACCGAACCTTACGGACTCCTGTTTCGACTCTCTTCCACTCCGATATTTCACCTTTCTAGTGAGTTTGTTGTTGTCGCTGCTCCAGATATGAAACTAGCAGGTTAAAAGCCTTATCTCTTATGCCGTATTTATTCAATTTCTTGGCAAGAATGTCATGATTTACAAGATCAAAAGCCTTGCTAAGGTCACAAAAGTCGATTTGAGTATATTTTTGTTCATCAAAACCTCTAGATAGTATACAGGGTGTATCTGAATGACTGCAACAACCTTCAAGGGGTGATTCTTTAGTGAATTTTAAGGGTACTTTGATATATGAACCAAGGGCGAGTTCGGCTCGCCTAAGGAGCTACACCCCTCCGAAAATGGCGGAAAATTTTGGTTTAACTTTTTTTTCTCAAAAACCATAAACGCTAGGAAAATGAAATTTGGGGAATATGTTTAACTCATAATAGGACACGTTTTGACCCTATTTGTACTTTCAACCTACACTTCTAAGTTACTAAACATAACCACCCGTGTTCAATTTTTGTCTAGATTTTTCTTATGACGGTGATAAATACATTGGAAATATTTTATTTAAATAGATGAAAATATTCTAAAACTTTTTTGCCTGTCTAATGTTCTTCGAAAAGTTAATAGTTTCTGAGAAAAAAATTAATTAAGCAAACACTAACTGTTAAGCTGTAGGGTTGTTAATCGAAAGTTGGAATGAATTTTTAATGAAAAAATCTTAGTAGGCTTTGCAATCTTTGTCAGAAATATTTTTGACGTTTAAATATCAGTGGTTTTCTTCCTATTATTATTGTTTTATTTAAAATTGTGAAACGTCGAGTGAACGAGCGTAAATGCGATAGAACTTTATTTGAAAAACAATAATAATAGTACGAAAACCCGTTTCTGTGAATCATCGTTTCTGTGAATTCATCCAGCTTTTTGAGCTGTTTTCGGTGAAGCGTTAAGGCGTTAATATACTGTAACAGGAATGTTATGAACCGACGCGATCTCAAAGGTAATATCTAGTTTCGATTGGTTATAGAGAAACTCGTGGATATTGGGTCGGATACAATGTGCTACAATGGCTGGAAAAGACACGTATGTGCAACGAAAAATTAAAATGAACTCTAAATTCAGTAATTAGTGATTTATGCTCAGTTCAGGTAGATTTCATACTTCATGACGCTTGATAGGAGACTAAAAGGAGGATTTTTCTAGCAGTAGCGAAAGCAATCCTTCGGTTTAAAAGTTTATTATGGACACCATTTTTCTAAGCCTGGATGCTTTGTAGTTCCACTGGATATTGCTACAAATTTGATAGTTACTGCGGCGCAAAACAGCAACTGAACCATGATAAAAAAAACTAGGTCTTGGACCCAGGATAGTGGAATTTACTTGGATTTATTGGAAGGAATTGATGTTCCTAAGGACCACATTGTCTATTTTGATAATTTTTTTACAAGCCACAGTCTGCTAACTACGCTAAAAAATCTTCGCCATAAAGCGACTTTCCATACAAGGAAAGAAATGGTGGTGGTCCGTTGAACGAACATGCTAAATATAACAGTGGTGAATTCCTGGAAAATTCATCAGTTGGCAGGCGGCCTCTTAGACTTGTTCGGTTTTGCATGTAATATTTTCAGAGATTAGGTATATGCGATCTGCTGGTAAATCTCGCGGTCCACAAAAAAGACCTCCCCGATTTAAGTGGTCACTTTCCGAAAAAGATCGAAAGCTAGTAACGATGTCGCGCTTGTCAAATGCGCTCAAGATGGACTTGTAACAAATGCAATATAACATTATGTTTAGAGCATGATTCATTCCACCTTGACTAAACCCTGCATAATTATACTGAATGATGAGAATTATACTGAATCTATCAAACTGTCGTGCACAACATAATAATAAGATTGATTTGCTAACTGACAGTAACTGTAATTTTCTTCAAACTTCTAATTTTGAAATATGTACTACACTCCGAAACTTTATACTAACTTATAAAGTGCAGGGTATGCGTGCCTCTATGCTCGATATCACAAAGAATGTAAAAACATTCAACTTGTAGAGCTCTATTAACCACGTTACTTATTAACAATCAAACGGAGATATTGATAATTTATATGTTTCCTTTTAATCCGAATATGCTATAATTTAAGACTATTAATTAATAAACCCTAGAATATTAATTTTTTTATACGTTAGTACTAACATGTCGTAAACTCTTAGGACTTTTAAAAATATGAATCAGAAAATTAAGCATCAAATTTTTATTGAGCAAAAATTGACGTATAGTACACAACTTTCCCCACTGCTCGCAACAAACCGGGTCAAAACAGTACTTGGTCGTAAAGCGTCTTAATCGACTGGGGCAATAAAAGCACTGGAAAGACATCACAAAGTTAGTTATCAATTTTCAGAATTATTTATTTCAGGATTATTACTTTTTAAATTTATTTTTCAGCCTTTGTTTCATTCATTGCATAGTAAGTTGGTGGATTACCTCGACCATAAGTTCATAACGTCGCACAGCTTTTTCACTTTTTCTGGTAACATTGCACCAGTAGAAAACATAACAATTGGAACGTTCTGGGTTTTCCACCACATGATATTTAAACAAATGTGGTTACTACACCTGATTTAGATTTACATGCATCTTTTGGTACTTTGCCTTCCATATTTGGCATTTCGGGTGGCATATTACTCTCTGGACTGTTCCTATTATAGTCAGATAGAATCTATCATTCAGGAAATTATCAGCTATTTCAACAGAATTGTCTATGTTTGCCTAAGAAGAAACATCCATAATGTAAAGGTGTACCAAAAGAGTGTCCTATTTAGTTTTAAGTATGCAATAAATATTATTATTATAATAAATTATAAATAATAAAACATTAAATTATTATAATAAATGTTCGAATACTCCGTGACGTATTGACAAAGAGAACGGTGGTAAGATTTTACACAACCAGAGAGGAAGATATCGTACTGATCTCGCTGGTCAGTTGAGATCGAAAATTCGGGGACCACATCATTCATTATGTTCTATCATTGAACGAATTGACGTCGGTGCATGTGGTTTATTAGTTTGGTATGGTTACGCTGCGTGGTGCTGTTCAAAATTTGAAGTTGTTGTGAAACTTGCCGAATGTTCAACCTTAACAATCTCATGTTCTTCAAAATCACTGACACTGTCACTGGAATCATGTTCAACTTTTAACTTATCTACTTCTTCCCAGTCACTCTCGACATCATTACTAGAATCTATTCCATTTTCATCTCTCAGTTGATCAAAGACTTTTTTCGCATTCCATTTTCCAAGAAACATCATCTATCAATTCATAAAAAGTGGCCACAACAGTGTACATAGAAATACGTAGAACACCAGACTAACTAGAAAGATACTTCAACGTGAAGTATTAGTATTCTAGGGTTAAGAATTAAATAAGACCCACTCTCTAATGAAATCCTGTATTAATGTAGTTAAACGATTTGAGGATGTGTATCGATTTTTGCTAGTTTCTACAATTTGCGATAATTTCTATAATTAACATACTTTGGTTTAGAGAATAGAAAATTGGTTAAATTGTTTTCTATTTACTGTTAACTATATCTTACTATTGTTTTGACACATATGTAGTTGAAATTAACATGTTTAATGTCTTGTCCAGGCAAGCTTATCCAACCCCTCCACTTTAGCAAAACTCATGCCAATGCCTTTTTTAAATTAAAATGTATGAATCAACAGACTTTTTGTATCTGCACAGAATCCGTGCTGATTTTTGATCTCTCACTATTTGAATTTATTCTCGGCATTGGCAGTAGGAACTTAGCTGCAAACCTTTCAATATTAACCGTCCAAAAATATTTGCCTCTGTATTCAAATTAAAAGGAAAATGAATATAGTATAAAACCTTTATGAGATTTCACGTTCTAAGAAAAGCAGTTTTTCAACTTGACTGTAAGTATTTCATATAAAAAACAAAAAATGTTCAACGAAAAAACGAATTTGTAATCCTTTTTAATCATAGATTCGACTGATGATGGTTTTATAAGCCGAAACTAGTATCGAGTAAATAAAATAATAAAACGTAAATAAAACGTGGATTGCGACCTTGATGCAGAGATGGTGAAAATAAAGAAAGTAGCTTTATTACAATTAAGTAAATTATTATTAACTATAATTATCTTTTTGTCATTGTAATCAAAAACGTTAGCATACCATAAAATTGACAACAATAAAAATATTTTGTTAAATATTTTACGTAGTTTCATAATTAAATTAAAAATTTAAACGTCCAAAAATTTAATGGTTTTTAATGAACCCTCCTAGGGAAATGCACCCACGCTATCCACGCTTTTTGCTTTTAGCTGAAAACTAGGGCAAACTTGTTACACTTGGGTATGTTCACATCGTTAAGAATTTTACAAAAGATTTTATTTTATTTCTTTTTATATTCCTTTTAAGTAATATGATTAATGAAAAGAAGGCAATAACATGAGGATAAATCAATACGTAATATTAATTTACAAAACAATTCAATTTAGTACTAGTGCTTGATTCCCCCAATATATTTCCTCTCGTATTATCGATATGTACTTACATAACTCTCAAACTTTGAAGTCCGGCGAAAGCTCTTCGATGCAAGTGCCTCAGTTCGACGTTCCCCTTCAAACTTCTACGAACATATAAGAGCCCTATTATTGTTAACAACTTCATGCCAATCTAAGATGTTACAAGTGGATGTATTGATCTTGGTTGTATAACATTAAATATTACTACAAAACACTTCACAATAAAAAGAAAAAAATATATAATATACGAAATACTTACAATTCTGCTATTTGAGATCCAAAAAATGCTTCTTCATCCACTGCTTCTAAGTCATTGTAATTTAAAAATCTGTAACCACAAAAGAAATTTTTGTATATTTTTGCTTTACGATAAAGAGTGTTGTTATTCACTCGTTATTTTTCGCGTCTATTCTCAATTTGTAAGCCATTAAAACTACATTCTAAGAAAAGAAGTAACTACTTTCAACTGCTGTTTACGCGTATCTTTTGGTCGTCTTGGTTACAGCACGTACAAGATTCAAGATAAAATGTAAAGTAATTTTACCAAAAAAATTTTCGATAAAAATCTTATGAAATCATGAATACTTTATTAGAATTCAAAAAGTTTAAAAAGCCTTAATTAAAATTGGCTTAAATAAAAAAGTCCTTTTTACATTTTGTAGGTATACATCTTAAGAAGATTTAAAAGCTTTTGAGTTAAGAAAGCTAAACGTGACATTTCAAAATTATTACGGACTAAAATTTTAATTGCATTTATTGCTTTTACGTTTGAAGTTATGGTAAATAAGTTTGAATGTAATGAGTTTTAATAGAAATAAAGTAATCCAAACATAAACCACTCTTTTTTAGATAACTTTATCGGGTTGTATTGACATGAGTAACGATATGGTGGTGAAAGCCAATGTGTATACATTATTTTATACGTTATTTTATATATATTGTATATATTACAGGTAAAAAAAGCAGATATATTTTCCTCAAATCGCGACGGACGTTTCTAAAAATATCTTGTTATTGCCTTACAATCCTTTTTTATCAAAGAACACATGGTTATTATTTTGATTAAGCTAGGTTAAGTAACATCTGACGTAATTCGGGTGCAAAATTTAAGTATTTTTTTTGTAAAACTTTCGTGATAATGAGTTATTATTAACTATTAAGTTACCGAGTTGCACGCTACAAAAGCTTTTAGTAAAGTCATGCAATAATATCTGAAATGCGCTATCATTGCGTGTTAGTAATATTACAATTTTAGAACGAACTGTGAGACATAAATAACACACTATCTAAAATAATTTAATTCCTTTTACTAATACAAAAAATAATTTATGAATGTATAGTAATGGTAGTTCAAGTATAGATCGCTATTTATTCAACCAAAGTGTTGCACGTAAAATACACGTTAAAATAAGGGGGTGGTGGTGATGTTAGAGGTTTCTCAGATTCAACACAATTTTTTTGAAATTATAAAATAGTTATATCGCATACTCACAATTTCCGTTTATATTTACGTTGTTTCTAGACCATAAAATTTGATATGGCGCTTGAAGGTTAACAAATATTAAATGAAAAATGTGCCAATATAAATTGTATTTTTTAATGTTAGTTGCAAACTTAAAATATAATATAGTAAAAGTTCGTCCAATTGCACCAAGTGGTGCGTGACTTTGATAAGGAACTAATGGGGTTGTACAAGGTCTTTCGGAAAATTTAAAAATTTGAACGATCAATTACCTCTAATTTTCATTTATTTTATCGTATATGTTATTTCGGATGTGGCAAAGGATTTACCTTGTCAAAATATCGATTCTCATATTTTATGTTACTCTTAGAGGAAAAAGTAATTAATAAAGAACTTTTAAATGAGGCCATTAATAAAATAAACACGGCCTTGACGTTCGTTTAGATGATATGGCAACGGATTTGCTACGTAATAAAATGTAATTTTATAGACTATTATGTGTTGAATCTGTGCTGCGAGGTGTATATCTACAAAATAGAGTGTACAAGGAATTGATATCAGGATTTATTAGGTTGTTCAGAAAGCAATTGCGTTTTTTTATGACAATGAAAGGCGATTTTCTTATAGTAAGTAAATTTTTGTTGAATTATAATATATTGTCTATTCTGGTCCAAAACCATTTATCATCTAAACAAATTTTTAGAGACTGATAAAAATAATAATCAGATGCTGGCAGATCTAGAAAATATGGTGGGTGTGACGGTATATCCCACCAAGCTGTAAAAGCTTTTGGTAAAAACTTGTGTGAGGTCTCGCATTATCTTGGTGGAACACTACACCTTTTCTATTGATCAACTCTGGTCTTGTCTGTTTAAGTGAATCACTCAATTTGTCCACCTCAGAATTGATTGTTGTGTTGTCCAATAGAAGCTAAAATCCCCTTCCTTTGAAATCCCACCAAACAGATAGCATGAGCCGGTTCATCTTTTTTCATCTGTTTCGTTTAACATTGTTGTAGAAAACCCATTTCTTGTCCTCAGTGATGTGATGCCTTCAAGAATGGATCAAATTCTTGACGTTAGAAACGCAAATCACAGACGACAACGCGACTACACAAATTTCTTCCAGTAAGAAGGTGAGGAATCCATATGTCGAGCTTTGAGATTCAACCTAGGCATTTCAAATGATCATGAACTGTCGAATTCGATTAATTTAGTCTCTCAGCGATCTCTGAAATCGTTATTAGCCGGTTTGCATCAATTAATGCTTTTATTGTGTCTTCGTCAACTTCAACTAGCCTTCCAGAACGCGGTGCATCTTCTCTGTTGGAAAAAACGAAATTACTTTCCCAACAACCTAATAGCTCTGAATAAAGAAACAGCAAAAAAAAATTAATAGTTGTTCTTCAAGATGTTAAAATCTTACATAAAATCAAATACCTTCGAGAGTAAAGCGGTGGAAGATAAGAGCGCACTAATATGAAGATATAACCAGGAAATAATGGAAGGAACTCTTCATTGAACTGCTATAGGGTGATTTATTAGCTTACCATCAAACTTTGACATATGATAGCTAGTCCAATTACCAAAAAAAAATTTTAATGAACATATGTCCTATTTCAATTATTTACGAAATTATAACACTTTAAAGTGTTCTGCAGCGAATTTATTAATAATCAGTAAACTCAAACATTCAACCAAAACAAAGTTGTCATTGCAGTATGTCAGTTTGCTGTAAGGTTTAATTATTACATACAAGAAGAAACTAAAAATATACGCTTATACTACTGAAGAGTATGCTGATATAATTTTCGTGTATGGTTTTTGCAATGGAAATGCTCGACAATCAGTACGAGAATATCAAGAAAGATATCCACAGCGTCATTTGTCATATTATTCAGTTTTTAGCGATTCTTTCAGAAAACTTCGAGAAACAAGTAATCCTGCTTCAGCAAAAGTTATTCGACCGCATGTGGTTAATGTAAAGGACGAAGAAGCTGTAATTAATGCTGTCATTGATAATCCTACCATCAGCACTCGAAGAATAGCACACAACATACATGTAAGTCAAAATTATGGATGGCGTGTATTGAACCGCGAAGTCCTTCATCCGTATCGTAACCAGAACGTTCAAGTTCTACAGTCAGGAGATAATCAGCAACGGTTAGCATTTTGTGAATGGTTATTGCAGCAACATGCCCAAAATAATGACTTAATTTCAAATGTTCTCTGGACAGATGAATCATGTTTTAGACGAGATGGTATAAATAATTACTATAATGAACATATCTGGGCATTACAAAATCCGCATGCGATTAGATCAAGGAAATTTCAACAACGTTTCAGAATCAACGTTTAGGGTGGAATATTTAACAACAATTTACTAGGTTTGCATGTACTTGATGGACGTTTGAACGCTGTAAATTACAGATTTTTTTTAATGTAATTCAAAATATGTGGTACCAGCACGATGGTGCCCCACCTCATCGTGGAAGAGTAGTTGTCGAGTGGTTAAACGAATATTTTCCAAACAAGTCGATTGGTAATAATGGTCTATTTGCTTGACCACCTAGATCCCCCGGCCTTAATCCATTGGATTTCTACTTATGGGGTCAAATGAAACAAATTGTGGATCAAGTGGAAATTAACACACAAGAACAGTTATTAAACAGAATACAAATGGCTGCTATTGAAATAAGAAATCAACCAGACATTTTAATTCGGCTAAAGAACTCTTTAATTCGTCGTTGTGAAGCATGTATTCTAGCAGAAGGAGGCTATTTTAAACAATATTTGTATATTAATGGACAAGACGATTAATATGAACAACAAGAATGGAAGAGACAGAAACAGATGAACAGATAACTATGGCGGAGTTAATAATGGTAATAACTAACGGAATTTAATAATGGAAATGCTCTCGGTGAAGTTGATCCATAGAAAAGATAAAATATGGGTCTACAGGGAATTATTGGCACATTTAGTACAAAAAGACATAAAAACCTGTAATAATTATAGAGGTATAACGTAACATAAAGGTAATATAGAGACAATAGACAAGAATCTACAAAAAAATGGAAATTTTTTTTCTGATTTGGAAAAAGGGTTCATCATGGTGTCGAGAGAGAGAGCGAGTATGGTATAGTTTTTTTATTGTAGAAAAGAATAATTAAAAAGAAAATTGTGAAGGTTATTAATGTAGCAGTCTATAAAAACTTAAAGTATAAGCAATTTAATAAGGAATTTGCGATAAAAGAAGGTCTTGGACAAGGTGGAGGTTTAACTCCAACTCTGTTTATTACAATACTATATGGATGATTTATACAATTTGAAAGTACTGGATGTAAACTTCATAAATAAGTATTAAATACGTTACTTGCAGTACATTTTTATTATAAGTAGCTTTGTTTGCTGATCTAAACGTTTTGCAATTACATTTCCAGCTTTTTCCATTTTGTCTGTATTTATTTTGCAATATAAATGGTCGATAGTAGACATACGTCTTTTGTGACACGCCATTTCAAACCCATAACCTTCCCTCTTTCAAAAAATATGTAGCTGTAGTTTTTAGGATAGATATCACAAGCCGTCTTGACTTAGCTTAAGAGACGGAATAGATATGTTCGTTGTTGTATCAATTGCTATGCCTGAGTTGTAATCTCTCTTCACGGTCAACGATTGCAGCACCCCGACTATAAGTGAACTCGGCTTAATTGGGAGATATCAAACGATCTCCAATATATTTAGGATAAAGCAAGGTCCCGTGCGGCCAAGGTACTGCAATATGCTTTATATCTTGTCTCATAAATGTGGTATAAATGAAGCGCTTGAGATGCTGCATTGTTTGCCGAATCGATGAAGCTCTCAAAAATATTTCCGTTAGTAGATAAGAATAGACGGGATGAGAGGGATGATAAGTTTATGTTCACAGAGGCTTATGTTAGAATCTCCAGATAGCTTGAGGCGGTCGCGGCATGCTAAACGGCAAAGGAGTACGCACACGGTAAAAACAACGCTCGGAAGAAAAACGCTACAGCGCTTTGCCTCTAGCAGAGAACCAACTTTCCAACAGCAGCGTCAAATTCTTATCTTGCGGGACAGCAACGCTCGTGGATCTGCTCAAATACTACAAGATGTGCTGAACGATAAGTACTTCGTTGCTTGTATTTTCAAACCGAGTGCAATGTTATTAATTAATATATTATCAAAAATACAAGACTCTGTTTCCCTGGTAAAATGTTATTTACGTTTTACTCTTTATTTTGGGCAAAAGAATATAATAAATAAGTTACTAAGTATTTCATTTTTTGTAAACTTTATAATACTTATATAGATATAAAAGTTAATTGTATGTAACTATTCTGATAAGGTTAATCAAAATTACATTATAACCAGGAAGGAAACGAAAGCTGTTAAACCATATTGTACAATAAATGTTATCTAATGACTACAATAGACATAGGGTAAATAAATCTGAAAAAAAATTGTTTTTAGAAACGAAACAGACACGCCTAATTTCAAAAATATTTCTCCTTAATCTTTAAACAAAAATTTAGGTTCACGAAATGATGAAAATGATGTTTTAATAAAAAATAAATTTCTATCTAAACAAATTAATTTGCTGAATCTGTTTTATAATAACATTGTACACCTGAATAGACAGCGACAAACTGGAAGCTTTTATTATCAACAAGAAATACAATATATGACTGAGACGTGGCCGAGAAAGCATAAAATTATCTTAAATATTCTATACATGATTCTGCAATAAGACTTTATACACGGCGGTGTCTTAATTATGTTACATAATAGCTTAAATTTCAAAGTTCAATGTTGTATTAAATATTTACAGATCTTTAAATGACATTTTGAAACATTTTTTAGGTTCCTGGTATGCGTGTTATTAACGATCAAATCGTCACAAAATGTGGTTATTACGGGAGCCTTTAATGATAAATTTGGTCGTCAAAACAGAATAATAAGTGTGCTAGTCAATATGGTCACTTTATTCAAGTTTGTGAATGTTAATAACGAAACCAGTCATAGTATTGGACCCATAACAGATTTTGAAAAGCTCTTCGATTTGTTACGAAAACTTTACAAAATATATAAACCCTTAAAGATCTTCCTACGAATCTATAGTATAACGCAGCTACAAGCACGAAAGCTTTTTAGAGCTTCGTAATGTTAGCATAAGTTTTCTTGCATTAAGATTCATTTTGCTATTATGTCTTAGATATTTTCGCAAAGTCGTTTTTAAGTCGCAAATGTTACGTTTTCTTTGCATCTTTTTCTTCAACGTAGAGACATTAGTTATTATCGTCTCTTTGGGGTTGATTCATTAATGGATTTTGCTGGTCGTTTATTACTGTTATCGATCTCAATTGGTGTAGGTTTAAATTGTCGATGTTGGTCGAGGTAACATTCAAGCGAAATTAAATGAGGTAGCAGAAGAATGCTGATCTGATGTTGGAAATGAAACGCTGCTTTTGAATCTCAAAGTTTGTAATTTTGAGCACATTTCGTGCAATTATGGATTATAATTCAATTATATTTCAATTAATTAAATCCAATTACAATAGATAAAACTATTAAATAAGTTATCCGTCGCGGCGTTTTCGAATCTAATAATCTTAGATTATTTAAAACTTTGCCATAACTTCACATATCTAGATTCTTGTTCGACAGTCAGTTATGATTTTGTTTATAATAAATTTGTAGTTGAAATTGTGAAATTGACAATACTTACAATAATCCAGTACGTATTTTGCTTATTTGATGACTACCTATTCTTTTTATGTGATTGTGCTCCAAATCACTGAAAAAAGAAAAACATATTAAACTAATTTTTTCTCAATACTAACACAATATTTACATGGAATGTAGAACGGATGTAGTGTTTAAGTTATTGAGATTGGGCATTTCTTCTAATCCTGTTTGAACAATTTTCCTAAAACCAAAAGTTTATAAAATCACCACTAAATTGTAAATTAGAAAATTACTTACAAGAAATAAAGCTTTGGAAGAAAAGCGCTGAACACTTCTGGTTGTATTTTAAGTAGTTTAGGTGCTCCTTGTATGTATCTATAATAAAAAAGCTGATTAATTTTAAACATAATTTTTATTTCTTCAACGATTATAGTAACTAATAATATTTATTATATTAAACTTCCTTTATATTTTCGCATACACACATGATATGGATATATATAGTTATTGTTACCACTGGAAAAGAAGATACCTCAAAATCTAACTCGGAAACTACTGGTGAAACTACTAGTTAAATATTTTGAGAAAGCATAACCTACAACAATAAATATCAACTTCCACAAAACTTTATCAATTTATGACACTGCGAAGTAGATAATTGTTTTGCGGTAGGGGCTACGCTACGAGGGGTTGTAATACTTACTTCGAACATGGATTCTGTTAATTAGAATGGGTTATCTTGCAACCAATTTAGCCCTTATAATTAACTATTATTGCCTTATCAGGTAGCAAAATTGTTCAACTAAATTCTAATTAAAGCGTATCCAAATTCAAGGGCAATTCGATTTAATTTAACGACAGGAGAACAATAATTTTTTGATTTAGGTTGAAGCACAAATGCTTTTATTTATTTATTTTGAAAACTGATTCATTGTGTAAATACGATATTTAGAAATTTTTAATAATTCCACGGTATTTATTACACTTTTAAATTTTTATTGATAACAATATAAAGCAAACATGAGAACCACAGAATATTACATTTTGGTGAAATTAAATGACCAGGGGGCATCCCCACTTTTAACGGATCCGGTCAACTAGCAAGTCCTCTAAAACGAAATCGGGGTGGATGTTTGCCACATACCACAGGAAATGCATGAATTGCGAGTTTGCACGTATTTTCCGCACTCTCTTGCAGAAGTACGTATATATAGGAAGAAGAATCTATATAGGGGCTAAAGTTAAATAGCTGGTATCTTTCTACAAGTGAATTATTTTATCGTATTTCCAATACTATTAATTCAAAAATATAATATTAACTTTGTTTACTGCCCTGTACATTAAATATAATTTAAAAAAGTTCACGTCTTTGCGAGATCTTAACCGAATTAATTTAATAAATTTGTCATTTCCTTTAGAAGAAGGGTTTTTGACCAATTAGTGTTGAATTAAATTTAGTAAAGAGCTTCTTTCGTACAGATTAGAAGATTTTAGTGCAATCAAATGAGCATAATAACTGCTGTAGAAAAAGAATACCGAAAGAGCTTAATAATTGCTCTGTAACAGGCAATATTGTACTCTTTGTGCCTTCAGAGCGTAATTTTAAATTTACAATTGAATAAAAAGCTCGTCACTCACCGGATTTCAGTATATTTCCAGCACTTTATTTGCCTCAACATAGGGAGAAATAAATTGTGTCGGGAACGTTACTCTTTCATATGCCCACTTCGAAACTTAAAAATAGTTAACTAAGGAATCATCTAAATATTTTTAGATGATTTCTTATCTTCCTTTATCCTATATTTTGCTATATTAGTTTCAATTTGTTTGATTTTGGTTAATTAATATTTATCGCAGGAGCGAATGTATTGTAGTAAATATTATTAAGCCAATGAGCACTGGATCAGGTTGTATAGAAATTAGTGTAGATCAGAGGTTCTCAAACTAGTTTCTTCTACCGAAATCTTTGAGAATCAAATATAATCTAGCGCCCGTGCCCTCTTAAATTTTTAACTGTATCCCAACTAGAAAATCGCTATGCAATTATTACTAGTATATTATATTCTAGTAACGAACTGTTCTAATAAGACCAATAAAACGCAATTTTAGAAACATTATTTAGCAAAACGTTTATTCAAATTAAAGCAAATATTCCAATTTAAATTTGAAAACTGATCTAATGTGAAGGAAGAATGTTTTTTAACAAGTTTATTGATATCATGCTCGAAATTAGTTAAAAATAACCGTAACATGCAAACGATTTATTTTCTTAGTTAGTAGAGCTGCCACAGCACTAAGTCCACGTTCACACAAATACGATGACTGAAATGCTATCAAAAATTGTTGAACAATTGACCATAACCTAGGGTACAATTGCGGTATTGGCTTTTGTAACCAAAATTCTTGGTAACCGTTTTTAAATTTGATTTTTATTTCCTCATTTGTTGTCAGTTCTATTAGTCCTTCTTCCAGCTGGGATGATCCTGATATGTTAACATTTGAAAAAGGACCCAACACCCAATCTGGTATTTCTAATTTTAAAATGTCCCGAAATAGTTCTTGGAAATCTTCACAGTGATTTCCAAGAACGATTTCGGTTTTCCAAATATTGGCAGTAAACAAGCAAATCGTCGTTGTTAAAAGATGCCATTTATAAATTATGGAAATTGTGAAACTTACGTCTACCAATATTTTTCTTATGTAAAAGCAGTTTGCCCACGAAAGCAGCATCGATATTTTTTGTTTTAATCAAGTTTAAGTCATCATCTTGAAGTTGGAGATTGATACCATTAAACAATTTATACAAGTCTGACAAGTACGTAATATCATTCTTTTATGTCATGAACTTGTCGTGTTCATTTCCTTCTCATCGCAAAACATTTCTAGCGTATTAAATATTATTTCTTCTTTTGTATCTGTCCCTAACTTTCTAGCGAACAATAGTTCTTGGCATGTTTTCTCGTCTTTAATAAACCTCACGTATGACAACAACAATGCTTCATTGATCGCTAAAGTGGATTCATCCAACTGAATTGAAAATTGACTAGTCTTCAGATGGTTGCACATTGATTCTTCGATGTATTCAACCATCTCATCAATTGGTCTTTGTACTGAACTGTTACTTAAAGGAATTTTTTTAATTATATCTGCCGCTGATTTATGTAGCACAGTACTTTACCTTGTGTATTTTACCTTAAATTTAGGTACGTGAGTGTCCAGAATGCTATATAATGCATAAAAATAAGCAAATAAGTCTAGTCGGTGTTCAGCAGTGCCTGGTATAAGTCAGGTAGATAAGCTCTCTTGCAGCATTACCGGGCGTCACGGTATACATCTTGAGTTATCAAATGTGCAGGCACCGTTACTGCAGTAGTAAGTAGTAATTCCCTTATGGTAATTGTCGTCTCGCACCAATGTAAAGTCACTGTGTATAATTTGAAGACTCAAGTTTGTGGAAGCACTTACCAAATTGACAGTTCTATCAATGGTATTCATTACATTACTTAATTAGGGAAGTCATTGTAACTAAGAAAATTGGAAAGAGTAGTGAAGTAACATCAAGATCACTCATGACCAAGGTATCCAAAGACATCTTCAACATTGATTTAATGTAATCGACGGTGTGAGTATACATTCTTCCAGGTGTTGCAGATGCGAAATAGCCGACTACAATGTTCTAAGCCGATATTGTCTTTTCAAATTCAATCCATACAGCTAGGACAGGAGGCAAGTATGATATTCGAAGTAGCAACGCCGGAATTAACAGCCACTAACACCCCTCCACTCCTACTGATGTCGTAGACATATTCAGCGTATCTCTTAGTTTTTGGTGTGCTACTTTTTGCCCAAGTACATTCTGCATATTTAATTGGTGGATTCTGCTGGATTGGTTTTTTTACTCTCTTAGTAAGTCACCAGAGTGAATAGTCTGTTTTATTGTTAATTGACAGGTTGCTCGGATCTGATGGAACTGATAGAGAATTCAATTTTTTATCTTCTTTTTTCAGAAATAGTTTCTTTGACTCGAAGGTACTACCTTCGATTCTTAATTAAATGTAGTACTGCATAGGAGTATTAGCCTATGCAGATTGGATAGCTGTAACAAATGATTCCACTTCATTATCCAGCTGTTCCAATCTGTCAGTTTATTTAGCAATCTAGGAGCTAATTTTTTTGTATAATGCTGTCACTGAGCGTTAGCAGGATGGGAGAATGATCAAAGTTCTTATTCTAAGCTTCTTCCCCTGCATATAGTTATCTGAAATTTTATAGGGGTTTGTTGTCCAGTACGTTGGCTTCGCCACTTTAGTTGATTGCCTGCTTGTTGAAGCACTTTTCCTTTTATGGTAGTTAACATAGATCTTTTTTATAGTATGGCACAACCACCTTTGGTTGCATTTTCAGAGTGTGCAGTGTGATATACTTTATACCTCTTAAATTTTATAAATGATTTGGTAGTAAAGTTTATCTCAGTAATAAAACGTATAACAATATTTTCTATATCTAGGACTGCTTGCGATTTTTGTTGATGATTTGTTATTTCCAGTTAGAACAGTTGCTTGAATTAAAATTGTCACCGCTTCGATAATGTAACAAGCTAAAATGGATAACAAATAATATACGTAAAATAATCCCGTTTCAGTCCAAGAAGATAAATAGCGTTAGTACGTCTATTTAAGTTTATTAGTAAAATCAACCAACAGTTACCGTGGGAGTTATGTAGGAGTAAATCCTACATAGAGTAAATCCTAAATATGCACTTACCAGAGTTAAGCCGGATGCAATTACAAAATTAGGAAGCCGTTAATTAGTTAATTATATTATTTGATGTGTTGTTGGCCATGTTCATCCCTATATGGAAGCTGTATAAATTAATATTAGTTTTATATTTTATAAATATACGTTAATAATAAATATAAATAAATACGTTTTGTCAATATCGACAATATATGTAGACATAATTACTATATCATTGCGGTATAACTGTCTTATTTATACCATTAATTACTAAACTTGCAGAAACAATACATAATAAGATATAAAGTCTACAAATTATTTATAAAACCGGAGAATTATAATGTAAACGGCTTTAATGTTATCTGACAAAAAAAATTAGTGAACGCTGAAAATGTAAACTTACATTTGGTGCAACTCAACTAAATTGTCGAAGACTCCCGGTTCGAAATAATAGAAACGGTCCAAATTTATCATTGTCCTGTAACAAAGCCAGAAAGGGCGGTTGCCGCCAATTTTGTCAATATACGTCACTTACAGTTTCTCTATTGTCTTCGCGAAGGGTAATAACGAAGTTCTCTTCAATACTTCAATACCAGCATTTTCGAGCACCCTGAAACAATCAATTCCACAATATTAAACGGTTTCTCTGTTAATATATCAGAAAATAACAAGAAATTGTAATAAATAATTAATTAAATTAAAAATAATAATTAAAGTATAGTATTTATTATGTTTGATGAAAGTTTAATATCGCATGTCAAATATCAAGTTGTAATAGGAACAACAAAGCAATAATCAGTGATACACAGGATGTGATTAATGCTATCTATATAGAAACTGTTAATGTGTGCTTCGAAGCGAATAATGCGATATGGTCTAGTTATGTATGTTGTGTTGCACTGTATATTAACGACGTTCAAAATATGTTGTCATGTGAACATATATTTTCATTTCCAATTGTAAATTATGACCAAACGTTAATTAACGAAACATTAACGATGAATAAAATTTAATATAACTTCTAAGAATTTTGCTTTTGGGTTACATTTGCTTATATATGGCATAAAAATATTTTTGGTAATTAAATCCAAATCAATTTATCTTTGAATGAAACGCAATTATATTACCGAATGAGCCACAGGATCAAATTGATTTTATAAAGTAAACACATTAATTTTCCGGAAATACGAACCGATAATACATTGATAACGTTCAGTCAGTGTCAATCAACACTTCTATAAATATATGACGTAATAACATGAATCTAATAAAAAATCCCAGAGGTACTCCCGAAAATATTGTATATTTCATATATTTTATTAGAATGTGTTGTAAAAGTTTATGAATAGTCTCGTGATTGTATTAAGAGTGGTAAAATATGAAATGTAAATTTTGGAAGCTAGAATTTACATAATATGTCGTTCATTGAGAACTATTATGCAGCAGACGAGAGGTAATGTTAAACTGTCGTTTCAATATAATTCGTGTTAACGTGTACAAGCTCGACGATGCATACGTTTTCTCATGGTAATATGACGGAATTGTGTCTATTAACAAGTGATTAACAATGACAACCCACAATAATCAAATCCAGAAAAGAATATATCCTAAGAATACGTACTTAATAAATCCGATTGCATAAAAGAGAAAATCACAACACGACATGAAAATTGTTAGTACTTCGCAGTCGAATTCAAATTTTCGATACAATCAAGTCGAACATGTCATATCATCATAATAAAATGCAATCGCAGTAGAATTGTGAGAAAAATCGATAATTCAAATTTACATAACTATTCGTCGATTCATTGCATGTCTTGTACCTAAAAATTTTACTGTTGATTTTTCAATTCGGAAGAGTTAACCAAGTTTAGAATCTCTATTATAAGATAGACCGATGTAAAAAAATACGTGGAAAGTAATGGACATTCTTATCAAAATCATCAGTCAGCGGTGAAAAAAATAAATTTTTGCTACCTTCAGTGTGTCTGGTAGATGAAATTCCATTTTTTATGTCTCCAGTGAATTCTAAGGGTGAAATTTGATCCGTATCCGGAACAAAAAAAAAGATGGGAGTGTATATTGGAAAAAAAATTAGGTGGATACATCAAAATTAATGGTAACATAAATATATTGTTATCAATTGAGAATAAGTTACGAGTAAGAAAATAGTATTAAAATCAAATAAAATGGAAAATGAAAATAATTGTTTAGGAGGAAATGTACATAATGAAGTATACAGTTATAGTACTTAACTCAATTACTAACTGAAAATTTAGCTATACATTTTATGTGAAAACTTCATATGAAGCATGTTGTTTCAAGTTTCCCATAATAATTTACCCCCGGCCGCGCGCCAGGGTAATTGGCTTAACAGGCACTGCTAGAATGGTTCCGTTATCCCGATCACTATTAGGAAGTATAAGAGACTTCATTCAAGCTTTACCTTCTATTAGCTACTTTCTGTACCTGATGATTTAACTTAAGTATACCTACCCAGCTGACTCGCGCGCTTCTTAATTTATTATTTTAATTATTTCATGGCTGTATCAAATAAAATTCTTTGATATTTTGTGAAAATATACCCAATTTTAGCATGGTTTTCCATGCGCATTGCATTTGAATAAGTACATTTTTCAGAAGTTTATGTTTGTGTTGCTGCACAATTGTATAGTTTTGTCGCCAGTACAGAAACGTACAAAAGAGGATATTTATTATTATTAATTATATTGATTTAACTAAAATCTAAAATAGTTAACGGTAATGCTCGAAGATTTTGATGTGTTCTAAATTTTTCAATAAAATGTGTCGAAAATTCTACGATTTAATTAATCCAAGTCATCTTGATGATATAACGACTTTTCCTGCAGATGACAAGGAACATCCCCTAGCGAACGAGAATTGGGGAGAGGATGACGTTCAAGTACGTGAAGACGATACAGGACTGGAATAAGATGCCGAGGAATTTGAAGAAAAATACGACCCTGGTCCTAAGCGATCTCACAATGTTATGACTCAATATCTTGGAGTCATACGAACGTTAAGAAAGCTTAAATTGATGTTGACTGTTGGCATTATTTATTCACAGGTGTCACCTTGGGCACTACAATTAGTTATATACATATATCAGTATATTGAATCAATAAAACATAAACTTTTTAGAGGGAGCGACATCACCCAACCCAACCCATAGACGTCATAGAATTAAAGACTTGTATTGTCTTATTATACATAGCAGGAGATCTTATAGAGAATAGTCAAAGTTTGGAGGAACTTGGAAAAAAGAAAGCAAAAAATTTAGTATTCTAATACGTTGTATTTGTTTTGACGATTTTACTACGAGAGCAGATCAAAAAAAAATCTTGTTCCAATTCGGGCCGTGTCCACAATTTTTGAAAGAAGTCTACAGCGCCGTAAAAAATGTCACAATCGATGAAATTAGAAGTACTTTTGAAAGTCAAAACTTTTAAAATAGAAAGAGCAAGCTTTTTGTCCTCAACGCAGTTTCAAATCTTTCCAAAACTTTGCGTGATAAACACTCGCATGACATTTCTGCTGACCATCTTGTGGACTACAAACTCTTAGATGTTGCTTGACATTGTTCTTCTTCAGTTGTTCCCAGCGCCTATCGTATGCCGGAAATAAGTTGCAGAAATGTAAAATAATTTAAAAATTAATTACAACTATTTAGTCATCGAAGTTCTAATTACATTCGAAGAGTGGGTTGAATTCAAAAAATTCAGTTATTGTGTTAGCAAGAATTAATTTTGAAGGCAAGTTTGAAAGTAAGTTTTATGAAAAGGGTTAGGTTATATTTGAACCAATATTTGATTGTAAGGTATTATTGGATTCGTATTTTTTAGTGTGTTCCATTTAAAAATAAAGGTTGACGCATTTTCCGGAAAAACTAATAGTAATAAACGATTTTTTACAAATAAATTATAAACAAATATAAATGATTAGCGATCTAGACTTGTTAATTAGTTCCTCCTGCTACAATAACTTAGTCGTGATCAAAAAATTACATTTCATCAACATCGGCAATGTTAACAATTTAATGTTGCAAATGTGTAGCCGCTGAAATCCGGAAGAGGCAACGCATTCGTCGCCGCAGAAATACCAAGAGCAAATAATGTTCTATTATTTGCTCTTGGTATTGGAATTTCAATAAACACACTGCAAAAAATGCATTAAACCTCAAAATTCATTAAAAACCATTCTTAACCTACCGTAACAAATTCCAACGTTTAAAATACTGGTGCACCTATTTTTAAGCATTCGAAAAATTACATATATGTTTACGAGGCATGATCGTCCAGACATTCCTGATACTGTAGCTTCAAAACGTTAAATTTCCGAAAAAGTTTCATTGGAAGACATAAGTTCTGAAACGGTTTCGAATAAAATTTCAATTTTTGTTATATTCGCCTCAAACGTCTGACGTACAACCATCTGGAACTTTCGACTTGATCGATGACAGAACACATACCGAGATTTCTCCGAAATAAATTTTATTTCAATTCAAATACGCTGCAGACGCGTAGTGATGCGCGCTGTTCATCTCTTATAAAAGTGCCTAAGTCCAAAAAGATTTTAAATTTCGTTTTATCCCGTCAATGTGCACGTCGTATGTCGTTGTAAAAGGTCGAGCATCACTTGTAATTTTTGGACCACTGCATGAATAAATTTGCGGATATGGAATCACTAGGATAGAAAAGTCGGATGATTTGTTTTTTGATGATTTTTTTGATAATTTGAAGGAGTCTTTAACTAGTTTATTATTAAAATTAACATTTTAACTTCAATGTGTTTTAACCAATTTCTTTATAGTATTAACACTTATCCTCAACGTGTCTTCTCTGTGAATCGACTCTTCTCGGCTTCTATCGATCGACTCGAACCCTTGAGCGAGACACTCCAAGGTTCTCGAGTCTTCCTCAATCTTTTTTACATCTTGGCCATCCTGCTGGAAATTTTCCTCGATTGAATATTCGTATTCTTCATCTTTTTGTACCTAGGGCTTCATGTTATCGGCATTAGGTTAGGCATGGTCCAGGATTATCTCCTATTCTGGTTATTGTATATCGATCAGATCTATGTATTGTCGTCACTTGATAAGGACCAAAAAATTTTGGCAGTAACCTCGATTCATTTTGAAATTGTGTTCTTCGAATTGTCACCAAATCTCGCGTTCTGTATACAAGAACCATCTTTATTTTCTTGTTGTACGTTTTTATATTTTCTGTTTGTACTTTTTTCATTTGTATAGTCTTTCTAAAATGTCCTTCAATTTCATCTCTTTCTTTCATTTCATTTCAACACCCAAAACCATCTCAAATGGTGTTCTACCAATAGCTATCTATATCGCATGAAAGTGGCAAGAAGCTGTCTCTAACGCTTCTTTATAGATTTTTATGGTAATCAGCAGCATAGTAAAATTTTTCTGTTTGTCTTCTAGCTGTATATCCCACAACAAAAGTACTTTATGTGATTTATCTCGGTATGGTTAGAAGGTTCGAAATACGTAGAAAAACATACGTTGTATCCGATTTAACGTTATAAACCAGGTACGTAATAAACGGACTCTATTGTAATCAACCAGGTCTCAGAAATACCAAGCACATCACACCAACAATAAAACTAGACTGTAGGGCTGGGCATTAATAATGTCTGAGGATCCATTATGCTTAATATAAATTCGCCCATTATACGACCAACAGTCCTTGTTCTTAAACTTCGCCCAGGCTTGTTTCAAAAAATTGTAAAGAATTATATTCGAAATCCATTCTACCAGTTTTTTAATATTTTGGAGAAATAATATAAAATGTTTTTAGTACATACTTTTAAACTGGTCTTTAATTAGTAGATAATAAACTTGAGTCTTACTAGTTTCGGCTAATAGCCATCTTTAGAGACTAGTTTTTGGACACAATAATAGATTGAAATATTAAATATCAAGTTTACATTTTTTTCAAAGTTACAAATTTAAATTAAAATACATTTAAAAACTTAGAACGTTCTAAGTACAGGTACTTGTAGTGAAATGTTACGAAGTACTATATTTGATATTTTAATCTATTATAAGTCCAAAAACTAGCCTCTGAAGATGGCTATTAGCCGAAACTAGTAAGACACAAGTTTATTATCTAATTAAAGACCAGTTTAAAAGTACAAAAAACGTTTTATATTATTTCTCCTAAATATCAAAAGATTATGATTCCCTGCAGTAAAGTCTTACTGTATGCTAATCTCATCTATATACTATCTCGAGATTTATAACTAACAAATTTAAACAAAATAGGGCGTGGATTTTTATTCTTGCCAAAGAACGGCCCAACATGGTGATAATGGTCTATATCGCTCTCAGATAATGATAAACCAAGTATTCTGGCTCTATAAACCTTGAATTTAATAATACTACTCGGTCGACTTGACTGAAATTGATATATGCGAGTACACGAATTAATTTATTGTAATAAAAATCTATAGTAATAATATACATAGATTAAAAATAACATACAATTTCTTAAAAAAATATCTTCGTATTTCGTTTTAATAAAAAGGGAATGAAATTGTTCTATAAAATCATATAAACATAAAATCTAAAAAAATGATATAAAACTTATATCTGTATTGAAACCAAGATATTCGATGAGTTGATATATGTATTAGGAATATCAATTTTCATACTTGATGTTGAGAAAGAATTTTATGTTGCATATTTTAAAACGATTGAATTGTAAAGAAACTCATAAAATTGTTATAAAATTTCTTGTTGATTTGAAGAAATAAAACGTTCGAAGCGTTTACTTACAAAGTGGATGGACTTGAAAGAGTTGCTGGTATGTCTACGAGATCCTGTCCGGAACAGCGGCATTCAACTTCATCGATTTCTAAAAGGCCGCCATCACACACGCAATTTTTTCGTGGATCACCGCCATCACGTGGATTGGGAGAAGAAAATTCACTACTTCTCACAAATGGAACTGAGAGTATCAAAACCGTACTGACGAACCTAACGAAAAATAAGAAAATAAACAGTTAGAAAGAATAAACAAAATTTAGATTTTTTATTATATTGTTGTAAGATATTTATTTGGAAAGATTTTTAAATGATAAAATAGAATGCTTTTTAAGGATTAAGTAGCTTTCCGGCAAAATAAGTAAATAAAAAGTACCTCGTTAAAGTTGAATATAAAACCGTTGGGAAAACTTTCGTAATTTTCATTTTGTCGCATCGTCTGTATCCAATAATCTTTTAGGAATAATTGAAAGAGGACGATCTTTGGATGCGATGAAAGGATTGCGTAAAAACGATTATATTAAACCGTGTTTTTAGCGATTGCAGTTTTTATTAAAATCTTTTTAATTAGTGTATTATCTAAGTATGAAGGGTTTCACGGCCGGTGTTAATTAAACGGCTAGTTCTAGATCTAGTGTTAGTTCTAATGCTATTGTTAGTTCTAGTTTTAGTTTAATAGTGTATTATAGTTTTTATGCTATTTATTTTGTAAATTTTAATTTAAAAAATATTAAGAAGAATGCAAAGAGCATCTTACTTGCTATTTATTTATACAGGGTGCCCATTATGTATGGAATATAGTATATATCTTGGTAAATATCAACTTCATAAAAAAACATTTTATAAAAAAGTTGTTTAATATTTGATTTGCCATAATAAGAAAGCATTCAATTGTTTTTATTTCAGAAAACAAACGAGCAACGAATAATACTTGAAGGCAATGTAAGGCTTTTTTAAATGGCAATGTATCCTTTCGTTAGGCTGATTTGATAGAGATTACTTTTCTCTTTACGATGACGTAAAATTTATACAAAAATATATTTCCATAGAAACCAGGGCGTACCTACTTAGTTTGTCCCACATAAAATGCCTGAATGAAACCTGAATGTTTCTAGTTCTAGGTTTAGCTTTAGTTCTAGTTTAATTGTTATTTAGCGTTAGATTGTGGTATATTTTCATCGTACGAAAAGTAGAACTAACAGTAGACCTAGAACTAACATTCGCGTTTACCCACACGTTAAGACGGCCGGAAACTCAGGGTTACCATAAGGACGTCGCCTTTTTCGAAGCAAAACTTTTCCTTTGCAAAAGCTATGTAACATTTTATGTGTTAACAGTGCAAGGGCATAACAGTTTCGTAACTATGGTTACTGTATTCATATATTGCGAGTTATATGAAATTCCCGGTATATCGAGACATATTTCAAGACAAAAAGGGATCAATTGAAACTAAAAGAGGTTGAATGATATAAAAATACGTTTCACATGAACGTGTTGTAAACATTACACTACACTCAGAAAAATATTAGCGGTTATAGTAACGAATTGATACTGCTATTTAATTTTTCTTGATTTTAACGTAAATAATCGTGGTTACAACAGAAATTCATTTAAATGAAATAAATAGTAAGAGGGGATTAAAGCCTACATAAATTTCATTTTAAGTCTGCAATTTTCTTAATTCCCAATATTAAATATAAATTATATAAAATTTATAATCTTTTATTTTAAATATATTTCAGTTATTCTAAGGAGAATTTATGTGCACTTTGTCAATACCATCCAACTACTACTTAAATTAAATGGTTAGTTAAATGATTTCTAGAAAAATATTCTTTAGTTGAAAAGGAATTTGTGTTGTGTTAAAAGAAGTATGTATTTAATAATGTCCAGGTTTTTGGTCGATTGTCGCCGTCATGATATCACATGATGTGTAACGGCCGATTCTCTTCAGTTCGTTGGTAGCTCCTTGCTTAGTTTTAACTTGTGCGTACTTGTACACGAAATAGGCGTGCAAATAGTTATCAAAGATAAGTTCAATAGTTAATTAATACTCTTTTATTTGTGCAAGTACTGATATTATACAGATTTAAAATTACAAACATGCAATACGTGCATAAAATGTGCATTACTTTTTTTTAAATAGATAGAAGATTTTTAAAGAAAATGGAGGTAAACCTAAGGCAGGGTTCGATAACAGTTTCAAATTTACTAATGGAATGGGATCTTGCTGAATTAATTGAAGACTTTCAAGATATGTATATAAACTTTTTCTTTTTGAAACAAGGTCCGTTAAGTGATAGTTTCTATGGTAATTAAATATTTCTCGACCTCATTACGTCATAATTCTTCTTACATGATGTCAACAACCGCAAAAAAAAATCATTACAACATTTTTCATTCCTTATTTATTAATTAATAATAATTAGGAGATACCAGCGCCGCGATGAAATTTTTTCTCTTTAATTTATTAAATTTCTACAACATTTTCGTCTGAATCTGCAGTACGTTTTTATTACATGTATTAGTATTGCTAGCTTTAATTTTTGTTTTCAACAGACTACTTATTACACGCTCAGAAACAATAAACGGAAACCTTCGGGCAAACGACAGATACTACAATTTAAAATTCTAAAGAAGAAAACTCAACCAAACAACTAATCAATCTGAATAAAAAGAGAGCGTACAATCTCTTTTTCTAGAAGGTAATGCTCGAGATTATAAAAGCGTTTTTTTTAAGTGTATCGTCTCTCGTTTCTTGAAAACATAGGAGACTACAGAGGGTTTCTTATAGCAAATTGTGATCCCTTCGTGTGGGACACAATTAAAGAATATTGAGCGGACTTCTGAATACAGACTCCAGTCTTTTCGAAGTTCTACAGAGACGTTGTCGGAATTATTAAAAGTATGGCCTAGACGTAATGACACTAATACTTACGAACTTGTATGTTATTATTTTATTTTGTAATTAAATTTTCTTTTATAGGTTCATATTGATTTTTCAACTTTATTTCCGGATAAACCCAATAATAATTTAATACCCACATTTTCTGAATTTACAACAAAAATTGTTGAAATATACAAATCCGATATAAAAGATAAACATAGTAAAGAATTATTTAAAAACTTACAGCATGGCGAAATCTCAAAAGGTAATTGAAAATGATTGATATTGATTGAAATAATTATTTGTACAACACTTGATGTTCGTTTTTTAGAATCCAAAGACTGTTATATTATTTTGCTACTACACGCTATATTACAATCGCAAAGATTATCTCGAAAGTATAAATCAACTATTGTTGACTCTCAAGACGACTGCGTTTTGTTTGTCAACACAATTAATGACGTTGCTAAAAAATTGGAAACTACACGGACGGATTATGCGGAAAACAAAATCAAATTGTAGCCCCGAGTGGTCGTAATTGGATCGGAGAAAGGACAAGATTGAACAATTTTATGTATATAGTGATGGGATTAGATACAAGTGCCATTCTTTCCTACAAGCAATTGACATTCTAATTAAGTTGGTATACGTCTTTCATTTACAGTTGTCTCCGGTAAGCAAATTAGTGTGGTCGTTTCTTACAGAATATTTTTATTATATACTGCAACATTCCAATTGTGTCAACGCATTAATTTCAAAGCTTAACAATGTTTAAGTGTTTTCTTTGCACGGTAGGTGGCTTCAAAACTACCGTTTTATATTTACATCATTTAAAGCAAATTCAAGTTTTTACAATCATGTTTATAATTAAAAAAGAGTGAAATATTTTTTTGTTTTATAAATAGGAGCTTCTATATTTTATTTTAATCCAAAATAATTTAAATTTCCATTTATTTTTGTTATTGAGGTTACTATATTTTATTCGTGCATATCCACTTATTTTCAGTTTTTACAATCATGTTTATGTTTAAAAAAAATGTATTAATTTATGAAGTATTGTTAATTTATACAATTAAAATATAATCTTTTGATTTAAATAAATTGCACAATTTAAATACCAAGTGCATTTTTATTTAATTCTACAACCAACAACTACTATAATAATAGATCCTTGCTTTTGATATAAATTCAGTGTACTTAATATTTAGAACCTTCATATTTACTAGAAAGAAAGCGAATTATTAATGGTAAAATCTTAATCTTTCGAATTGAAAATATTTTTTCTTTGAAGTAAATGAAAATTCATATTAACATTCAATAGTGTTTCATTTAATTTTAATTTATCTACTTATCAACTTTAAAGATTTCTTTATTTAATTCAGTTAACTAAAGCAACTAAACTTCTAAAGCAAAATTATTTGTATTAAACGGTTTTGCTTTTTTTGTTAAGTACTTTGATACACTTACAATTGAATGGTGCAATGATTCAATAAGAACAGTAAATTCATTTGGATAAAAAGTATATCCCTTTTTCCTTTGCTGTCACGTAAAAATTCTTAATCGTAAAGAATTATTTTTCTGAGTGTATAGTAAAAATTTTGATTCATTAAAATTCAACAAAAACCAACAGTTAAAACAGAAAAACTTGTGTTAACGAGTGCATGAAAAAGCTAGGTATTTAAATTAAAATTTTCAACCACCAATGTCACTTACATAAGGATTAACTTCATTTATTATGAAATTCCTTTCTATATAATTCAAAAAGATATACGCTAAAATGCCAGCAGTAGCATACCCATGGGTACATCCTTTAAGATAATAAAAATCTCCATATAAATGCAATAATTTGGAGTATCTATATGGTTAAAGATGTTAATTAAATGTTTAATTAACATCTAATTAAAAGTGTTGAAAGTTGTGCTTAAATTGTATTTAATTGGGAAGTTTACAAAATGGTTGGTGATATCAAATGAAATAAGAATACTATTATTTAGATTTAGATTTTTGGTTATACTAGTATTAAAAACGATTTAAAAACGTACGAACAACATTAATGTTTTTAACCTTCGCTCGATTAAAGTAATTCAAAACTTTTCCTACCAAAACAGTATTAACATTTAGTAATTTAATCCATATATTTTTAAATGATTATATTACCTCCTGTATGAATAGTTCCATAGAAAATAAAAAAACAGATACATTCTCATAAATAAGAAAATAATTCAAACTCAATCAACATGTTTCACATATTTCAACGCCAAACCAAATAATTAAATAGGATTTGTTGGGATGGTTATATTTGCATTGCAATTGAAACAGGGTTTAT